GTCTTCCTTATTCACTGTCCAGCTTTCGCATGCATATGAGGTTATTGAAAATACCATGGCTTGGGTCAGGTGCACCTTAGTCCTCAAGCTAACATCTTTGCTCTTCAATACTTTAAAAAGGTTTTGTGCAGCATAAGCCACTAAGCTATGAAAATAAAAAGATTTTATGCTGCAAAGAGAAAACAAAGGTGGGAAATGGATGGACATGCCATCCAAACAATGTCTGCCTGAATCTGAGGAACATTACAAAGCCAACAGTCTATATAAAAATTGTTGTTGTTGTTATTAAGTGCTGTCGAGTCAGTTCCAACTCCTAGTGACCCTGTATAGGGCTTCTGAGGAGCAGCTGGTAGGTTTGAACTGCTAAGCTTTTGGTTCACAGTCCAGTGCTGATCCTACAGCACCACACCAGGAGTCCCAGAATAGATGGCACTTAACAATAACAATTGAATCTCCAAGATTGTTTTTTAAATTATGATTGCTACAAGTTTACAGTAACAACAGTCTGGAGAGTCTTAATTTGTCAGACAAACCAAAAATGAAGAAAATAGGAGTAGTATTAGCCCTTTGTTAAATGTCTTCTTTGTTCTAAGGACACACGTAGGCAAGTTCCCTAGTCCTCTGTGTTAACCCTGGGTAGTGTCCTTTTCCCAAGAGCAAACTGCCTCTCCCTGAGCTTTCCCAAAATATTCATGGCCACACTAATGGTTCAACAGTTAGAGCATATAAAAAACTCAAGATGGCATCTGAATTTACAGCTCAAAATGGAGTTAGGGTTCCAACTGTAGGCTATTGTTGTTAGTGCCATCAAGTCAGTACTGACTCATAGCAACCCTATGCACAACAGAAGGAAACACTGCTCGGTCCTGGGCCATCCTCACAATCATTGCTACCCCTGAGCCCATCACTTCTGCCACTGTGCCAATCCACAAACTAAATGCTTTTAGATTTTAGGTTCTAATGTAAAACCAACAGCAAAACCCCCATGGTTATGCACAGATCCCAGCTACTTGACAGGATTGCTGTCTGCCATTTTTCGAGACATCATCTTTTCACTCCCCTTTCCCCCCATCTGCCTTCTCCTCATAAATACTCTTAACAAATGCTGTGACTCTTTGGTGACCTGCTCTGGCCACAAAGGATTAAGGAAGTGGTTTGGGGAGGGTGTAGAGGGGCATGTCCCTATTGTTGTTGTTATGTGCCGTGCAGTCGGTTCAACTCATAGCGACCCTGTACAGGGTTTCTGAGGTTGTAAGTCTTTATGGGAGCAGAAAGCCTCATCTTTCTCCCATGGAACAGCTGGTAGTTTCGAACTGTTGAACTGGAGGTTCGCAGCCCGATTTGTAACCACTACGCTACCAGAGCTCCTTATTAGTAGCACTTAAAGGTAGCATTCCAGAATGAGAAAGCAAGCACGCTGGTTGCAGTTCTATCATTGGCCCTCTGGTGCTCAATTTCAGTGAACTAATGAACAGAGGCGGTCTAGGAGTGCTCCCCAGCACATGCCCACCCCTCTGTCCACTACGGAATGAGGAAAACAGGATAGGGGTGCTGAGCAAGCTGATTTCAAAGGTTGAGTAAATACCTTCGGGACAAGGACTTTGATCTCAGAGAACCACAGAGTTTTTGCCAACCTCCCTGCCCCCACCAGCCCCAGTGATGCTTATCTAAGTGAGGGATGTACAGAAGAACACAATGTGCTCCTCAAAGTCCCCTTTCTGATCACAGAAGATCGATCAGGAGATAGAACGAACTGCTGAGACTGGAACAAAGATACAGCTTCACTTCCTTTGGAGGCAGGCAAGGGAATGAGGAAGCCAGCTGCTCCTCAGCTTTATCACCTTCAGAGCCTCTGCTACCTCTGAGTGACCATTTGACCCTACTTGGAGTCCTGGTGTGGCACTGAGGATTAATACGCAAGACTGCAAAGTTGTTTGAACTGCAAGGTTGGTGGTTCAAGCTCACCAGCTGCTCCTCAGAAACCCTATACAGGGTTGCTATGGGTTGTAACTGACTCAATGGCACTTAACAACAACAACAGGCAGGCATAGGATGGTAAGACTTCATCTTTCATACTTCGGACATGTTATCTGGAATGACATGGAGAAGGACATCATGCTTGGTAAAGGGAAAGGTCAGCTAAAAAGAGTAAGACATCCCCACCCACCCACCCACCTGCCCTGCAACAAGATGCATTGGCACAGTGGCAGCAGCAGTGGGCTTAAGCTTAATGATTCGCGGGACCAGGCAGTGTTTCCTTCTGTTACTATGAGTTGGAACTGACTCAAGGGCACCTAACAGGCAGGCAAAGGGTTTGGCTAAGTGTTTCTGGTTCCCCTTGAGCATTTCTCTAAGGAACTGGCCCCATCTTAACACAATTCATCTCTGTCACACACAGATGAGGAAGAGGAAGAAGGCATTGAAGAAGAAGAGCAAGATGAAGAAGAACCCACAGAAGGGAAAGAAGAAGGTGAAAAACCCATACATTAATTTGCTCATTCATTTAACAATACCAATCTTGTGTTTTCAAAGAACAGTGCTGGATACTGGGGATAAGGTTTACCTCTGTTCCCAAAGTATATTTACCTCTGTTCCCAAAGTATATAATTTCCTTCCATACATTAATTTGCTCATTCATTTAACAATACCAATCTTGTGTTTTCAAAGAACAGTGCTGGATACTGGGGATAAGGTTTACCTCTGTTCCCAAAGTATATTTAATCTTTTTCTCCCAGGATTGTTATATGCCATCGAGTCAGTTCAGACTCATGGTGACCCATATAGGGTTTCTAAGTGCGACTGTTGGATTTGAACTGCCGACCTTGCAGTTACCAGTCCAGTGTTTATGCTACAGTGCCACACCAGTATTCTTTTTCAGGATGTTGTTGTGTGCTTTTGATTTGGTTCCGACTCATAGTGTCCAAGAGCAGCTGGTGGGTTTGAACTGCTGATATTTTGGTTAGCAGTCCAGTGTTTCTCCTATTTCACTGTGTGTTGGGGGGGGGGGGAATATAAGGGGGAATGCTGAAGGCAGAATGGGAGGGGCTGGCACTCAGGTCAGGGATGAGCTGCTCCCAGACCTGTTGAGAAGGAGAAACTGAGGCAGGCTGGGTTACTAGCTATGAGTCCACATCAACTGGATGACAATGTTTGATGTTTGGGTTTCATTCATAACAAAAAGAGCCATATTTTACATCTAAATGACTTTTCTAACTGAAAGGCAACACATTATCAAAAAGATGACACGGAAGGAGTTCACTGGTTTATTTACTTGGGTCATCTTAAACAGCCCATTTAGATGTTCTGGTGAGGCGATGTGGGTTAATGTGCAGTCAGTTTGAAGCACAGGGTTGGTGGTTTGAGCCCATCCTAGGAAGCCCTATACAGGGTCTCTGTGGGTCAGAACCCACTCAAGGGCACTTAACAACAACACCAGCCCATTTAAAGTAATTTAAATTAGTTGCCAACATTTTAAAAGTAGGAGATTAAAAAAGAAGAAGAAGAATATTTCAACTAAGAATCTGGGCTTTCACCTTCTTGTGAACATTTGTAAACAACTTGCACACCCCCTGGTCCCAGGGAGTTGAAGACAGGCAAGGCTGCCCCCCTGGAGATGGAGCTTCACTCCCCAATTTACACCCCCCACCACACTCAGGCCTTGCTGCTTCACTCCTTCATGGTATCTGCTGGGCCTATCAGGCATCTGAGTTTGCAAACTCAGCAGAGCAGATAAGTGCCTGCATTCTGAATCACAGTTCTATCAAAGACTAGCAGTGTGACTTGAGTAATTCACAACTTCTTCTGAGACTTGGGCTACTGTTGGTGGGAATAAATTAAATAATGATTGTAAATAATTTAACACCCTGTCTGGTACATAGGACAATCCTGTCAGTAGTGTTTCCTGATAATCATTTTCCACATGGCTTTTCTTGTCAAGTGCCACAGAGTAGATTCCAACTCAGCAAACCTGTATGAGTTTCCAAGGAGCAGCTAGTGAGTTTGAACCACTGTCCTTGTGGTTAGCAATCCAGTGCTTCTCCTATAGCATCACACCAGGTCTCCTGGAATTAAATTCTAATCCAGCTGAAGAATATAGAGTTGTCTTTTGAAGAGTGTTGGGAACTGAATTCTAGTTTGGTTTAAAAAGGAAAACATCAGATGTTATTAAATACTATCAAATCAGTTCTAACTCCCAGTGGCCTTGAGGAGAACAGTGGTACTTAATTTAGAGTGCTTATCTGACAGGGTTAGGAAATTATGGTGTGGCGCTGTGGGTTAATGCGCTGGATTGCAAGGTCGGTTTGAACTGTAAGGTTAGAAGTTCAAACTCACCAGCCACTCCTCGGAAACCCTATACAGGGTCGTTATGAGTTGGAACCGACTTGATGGCACTTAACAGCAACAACAACAACAGGTGGTTATGTGCCGTGGAGTCGGTTCCGACTCATAGTGACCCTTTCTGTACAGGGTTTCCCAAGCTGTAAATCTTTATGGAAGCAGAAAGCCTCATCTTTCTGATAGTTTAGAACTGCTGACCTTGAAATCCTATAAATCTTTACAAGAGCAGAGAGCTGACCTTGCAGTTCAAATGAACTTTGCAGTCTAGCACCAGGACTCCAAGACTCCAAATGCTTTTTTATTTCTCACTGCAGCCTGGGGAATCCTGGATCCCCGAGTTCCTGTCTCACCGTGTGTCTTTCTTTTTTTTTCATTTCAGGGCACCAGTAAGGAGCTGGAAGAATGAGAAAAATTCTAGATGCAAATTGGGGAGGGTAGGGATGGCCCTGCGGCCTTGGCGACACGCCCAGGGCGGGAGGGATCGGGGCAACTGGAAGGTGTGTCTTCCCTCTACTCTGAGAGCAGGGACTAGCAGTAGGACCCCATGGCTGGGGCCAGCGGCCATTGAACCAGAAACGTGCTTGAGACAGCCACACAGGATACTTTTTTACATTGGTGCAAAATGTAATATTTTGTATATTTTTTAAATGTGATTTTTTTTTTTTTTTTGTATATATACTTGTATTTGTATGCCATTTTGGTGCTTTTTGTAAGGGAACTTTTGTATGATCATGCCTATCATTGTGTGACTGACTGATGATTGTTAGAAAGAGGGGAAGGAAGTCAGATTGATATATCTGACCACTTCCTTTCCACAGTGGGAGGGCTGGGTAGCACTCACAGGCCTAGAAAGGGATAATGTACTGTATTTCAGTGCCTGCCCCTGACATGGGGTTGGTTAAATTTGTGTTATATGTTGTTTTAATAAATGCACAACGCTCTCTTCCTGTTATTAACACAAGAGCTGGGTTCTTATTCAGCCTTCTCCCTGACCCCTAGAGAGGAAGGACACCTGATGGCTCAGTAGTTAGGGTCCTAGGCTGCTAAGTGAAGGATCAGTGTAGCTATTGGACCCATCAGTCACTCTGTGGGAAAACCATGTGGAATCTGTTCCTGGAATCTGCTTCTGAAAGAAAGCTTTGAAAACTCCCTGCTGCTGCTGCTGCTGTGTGCCATGGAGTCGGTTCCGACCCATAGCGACCCTGTACAGGGTTTCCGAAGCTGTAAATCTTTACAGGAGCAAAAAGCCTCCTCTTTCTCCCATGGAACAGCTGGTAGTTTCGAACTGCTGACCTTGCAGTTGGCAGCCCGATTTGTAACCACTACAGTACCAGAGCTCCTTTGGAAAACCCCTAGGACTGTTCTATTCTGTCCTATAGGGTCAGCTCTACAACAGTGGGTTTGGTTTCTGGAGAGAACTCAGGATGGATGGTCTAATAGGAAGTTTGTGGAAGGAGGTAGAAGGTGACATCAAGACTAGGCTTGTTCCTCCAAATGTTCCTTTCTTTGTGGTAAAGATATACACAGCAAAACACACATCAATTGAGCAATATCTGCAGGTGCAATTCAACGACATTGGTTACATTCTTCAAATGGTGCCCCCTTCCTCCATGTTTTTTTCTGAATGTTTCTTCAGCAGAAGCACCAACTCACTGCCCCCTAAAATTCTCAACTAACCTTTCAAATTGCTGTTTGCAACTTGGATCTCATATAGATGATTATTTAAAATAAGAAAATGCTCAAGTGAGACATCATCCTTTTCTAATTATGGATGTTGTTGTTGTTAAGTGCTGTTGAGTCGACCCCGACCCATAGCGACCCTATATAGGGTTTCAGAGGAGCAGCTGGTGAGCTTGAATCATCAACCTTTCAGTTCAAAGGGCTTTGCAGTCTGGCTTATTAACTCACAGCGCCACACCAAGACTCTACACTGGTATAACAATAGCTTCATGAGATAGGTAGTTTCTGTTTAAAGTTTAAACATTTTCTCAGGGTAATAGTTTTGTTTTGTTTCTTATAACAATGATCTCAGACAAAATCTGTTGCCAGATAATAGTTTTTATGTAAGGTCAGCCAATCTCACTGACTCCAGATATTATGGTTCCATGAGAATTTGCTACGTTATTCCCCTTTTGATCAGAATTCTTCTGTAGAATCTTTGATCAAATCATTCAGTAATTGTAGCCAGGCACCAAACAGTTGTTCTGATCTCATGGCAAAGGAAGAGGTTGTTCATGGAAGCAACCTCCAAGAGTTCTTTAAACCAGTATTTTCCAGTGTATGCATCATGGAAAGCTGGCCCTAAGATGATCCTCAAAATATCGATTCATTGTTGTTGTTAGGTGCCATCGAGTCAGTACCAACTCATAGTGACCCTATGCAAAGCAGAACAAAACATTGCCCGATCCTGGTCTAACCTCACTATTGTTGCCATGCTTGAGCCCATTGATTCTGCCACTTGGCCAATCCATCTCGCTGGGGGTCTTCCTCTTTTTATTTGACCCTCCACCTTACCAAACATGATATCCTTCTCCAGTAACTGCTCCTTCCTGACAATATGTTCAAAGTATGAGAGACGAGGTTTGGCCACCCTGACCTCCAAGGAGCACTCTGACTGCACTTTTTCCAACACAGATCTGTTGGTTCTTTTGTCAGCCCAAGGCACTTTCAATATTCTACTCCAACATCATAACTCAAAAGCATCAATTTTTCTACTGTCTTCCTTATTCATTGTCCAGCTTTCACATGCATATGAGGTTATTGAAAATACCATGGCTTGGATCAGGTTTACCTTAGTCCTCAAGCTGACATTTTTACTCTTCAACACTTTTAACAGGTCTTGTGCAGCAGATTTGCCTAATGTAGTACATCATTTGAATTCTTGACTGCTGCTTCCATGAATGTTGATAGTTGACCCAAGAAGAGTGAAGTCCTTGACAACTTCAATCTTTCCTCCATTGATAAAAATGTTGTTTATTGCTCCAGTGGTGAGGATTTTTATTTTCCTTAAACTGAGATGCAATCCATACCTAAGGCTGTGCTCTTTGATCTTCATCAGTAAATGTTTTAAGTCCTCTTCACTTTCAGCAAGCAAGGTTTTATCATCTGCATATCGCAGGTTCTTAATGAGTCTTCCTCCAATCCTGATGCCACATTTTTCTTCAT